TAATGAAAAGAATGAAATAGTGCGAGCGATACAAAGCACGCCTCGTAATGCAAGGCTTCTCTCAACGCCCTGGGATTGATTACGAAGAGACGCATTCCCCTGTAATAGACGTCATAACGTTCTGCTATTTTATCAGTTTGGTAGGTTTCAAAAAACTGAATATGAAAATTATCGACGTGGTAACCACGTATCTCTATAGGGATCTAAATACGGAAATCTACATGAAAGTTCCAGAAGGATTTCCATTAACTAGATCAAATAGTTTTAGACTGCGGAACACCCTCTTGATTCGATTGAGGAGATCACTCTACAGATTGAAACAATCTGGACGGATGTGGTATAACCGTTTAAGTGAATATTTGACAAGTCATGGTTATGTGAACAATGAACTATGCCCATGTGTGTTTATCAAGAATTCACATTTGGGATTTGCGATCATTGCAGTTTATGTCGATGACATGAATCTCATCGAAACTCCAGCGGAGTTTGAGGAAATTATTTACTTGAAATCGGAATTTGAGATAAAAGATCTTAAGAAAACTCAATATTGTTTCTGCCTGGAGATCGGGCATTGTTTGGATGAAATCCTAGTACATCAACTAATCCCGTAAGGTGTTGCGATGTTTTAACGAGGATAAAGCAAAGCCTTCAAGTACTCATATAGTCATTCAGACTCTAGACACTAAACAAGATCCCTTCCGTCCCAAGGAGGATGATGAAGATATTTTGGAGCCTAAAGTTTCATACCTAAGTGCAATTGGTGCCTTATTGTACTTGACTTAATGCATTAGACCCGACATCTCCTTTGCTTTTAATCTTTTGGCTAGATACAGCAACGCGCCTACAAGTAGACATTAGAATGGTGTTAATGACATTTTCCACTACCTCAAGGGTACGACGGATTTGGGCTTGTTTTACACTTATGAATCCTTGAGAGAGTCGCCGCCCTTCTTGGTCATCGGGTTGATTCTCGCCTTGTTAGTTATGCAGATGCTGTTTATCTATTTGACCCACATAGGGCGCATTCTTAAACGGGCAATGTCTTTACCGTTAGAGACACTGCACTATCTTAGAGGTCTACCAAGCAAATGCTAGTTGCAACTTCTTCGAACCATGCTGAGATTTTCGCCTTGCATGAAGCCTCGCGTGAGTGTTTTTGCTTGACAGTAGTCATGGAACACATTCGAAGCACTAGTGGTCTTACTACCGTCGTTGACCTTCCTACAACGATCTTTGAAGATAATGCAACATATATTGAGCTATTAAAGAAAGGATACATTAAGAGAGACAATACCAAGCATATAGCTTCGAAGTTCTTTTGATCTCACCAACAATAACATCAGAACATTAAAGTTAAGCAAATTTGTTCCCATGAAAATCTAGCTGATCTCTTCACCAAGTCTACTTTTCAGAAACTCGTCCAAGGAATCAGAATGCTTAAACTATCCAAGTTGAATTGCTTGTAGTTTTTTTATTTGGAAATTATGTCCAACTCAGGGGGAGTATCCAAAAGCATACTTACTTGATCTTAATGTACTCTTTTTCCTACAATTAGGAGCATTTTTCCCATTTGTTTTTGCTACTTAACGAGGTTTTGATGAGGCACCCATTATGGGATGATCATATTCCATTGAGTTCACTACTTTCATCCCATTTGACGTTTGTTTTAGACATTATGTATACTTCTCACTCTTCTTCTTAGTCTATGGGTGTTTACCTACCTTAGGTTTTACCATAGCGAAGTTTTGTGAGTTTTTACTACTATTGAATACTTTCTTTAAATTTGAGACTCACATTTGCCCGTTGTGCCGATGGCTTCACTACTGGTCAACCTTAATTGCTGAAGACCTGATGCGAAGTTTTGTTTGAGTATTTGCACACTCAAGGGGGAGTGTTGCAGTCCTATTAGATTATGAATGTGATTTTGTAAATCCTAGTGTATCTAGGGATATCTTGGAAATATTTCCTAAGGTTAGATATTATCCTATTGGAGTTGTAATCCTATTAGGCCTCGTTTGGCATGCCGTATAAGATCATCGGATAGTACTAATAATACGGAGCGGATGTTTAGTGAGTGTTGTATTAAATAAGCACCAGATTATTGAATCTGGCCCCACTTGTTTTATCCCCTTCACACTCGCTTGTTTATCCCGTCCCAAACCTCTGTATTATTAGTCGGGTGCATCTCTCTCGTTCACACTGGCTCACTCCGTCCCTCTGTCACGTACTCTCCTTCAATTCTCTCACATTGCCTGCTATCTCTCGTCTACTTCCAGGTTCATCTTCGTTGCCATCTTTTTTTTTTCTCTCTCTTCCTCCCTCCTTCTTTGCACACACACCTCCCACATCTCTGTTCGCCTTTGATTTATGACAACAAAACTTTCCATGGGTTGAAGGAGGAAGACGATGATTCAAATTTTTCCGATCTGGGCTCCGACGACGAGAAGGACGACAAGGAATGGAGCTAGGCTTCGACAAGGAAGGGGATAACAATTTGGATCTGGGCTCCGATGAGGAAGGGGACAGGAATTCGAATATAGGCCCCAAGTTCTTGACCCAGGCCCCTACTCCTCTGCAATTGGTCGCCAAGGGTGGGATTGATGTGCAAGGAAGATGGTGAAGAACGAAGATGTGATTGAGAAGAGTCGTGGGTTTTTTTGTCTTCCTCTTTTTTTTTATTTATTTATTTATTTTAACAACAATTATTGTGAATTTAAAAAAAAAATTATTATAGTCGGATGTATTATCCGATGCATAAATTAATCCGATACAATACCAAACGCCTGACTAATTTAGTCAGTATCATCCGACGACTATTTATCCTATCCAACTGAAATAGTCAGTACAGTCCGAGCTACCAAACGAGGCCTTAGGGTAAGGATTTAACATATCCTACTATTATAAATAAAAGCACAATGGGGGTGATACAACACACACTTCAGAATTACATCTCTCTCATCTCTTTCTCTTGTTACTGGCCATCTCCCTCTCTAGTCCCAAATACAGTTTTGTAAATTAAGCCTACAACACTATTTGTTTTTATGAACATTTTAATCTAAAAATATTTAAATTCTGATAAGTAATTACAAATCATACAAACACATAGGTATATAAAAAGTTTTAAGTTAAATTTGATTTAAATAATTATCTTAAATTATTTTAGATGTTAAATTTAATTTTGGGCCGTCAAATCAATTTTTTTACCATTAGATTTGGTTGCATTTGATCATAACCGTTAGATTATAAGTTAAAAACAAAAAAAGGTTTGAAATATGACAGTTTGGCGGTCCAGAAAAATTTAAGTCAAGCTTAAATCCTGAGGGAAATTTAGCCCCAGAGATATATTTTCTCTCCACGGCTTATTTTAGCTCACTGGTTGGAGATGCTATTAGGGGGAGAGGGGTTTAAAGCTTATATTTTAAGCTTTATCCCATGGGTTGAAGATGATCTTATAAGTCTATGTAAGATCCTTTATTTCATCAATGTTGAACTCATTCTCAACAACATAACGCAGGAACGTGCGCCAGCCATTGGATTCCAACAGTGCACCAATCCCAGTCGTTGAAAGGTTGCTTGTTGTGCACTCGCCCATATACAATCTCTCCACGCTTCTGCATCTGACGCACAGGGCCTGCTTTTGTCTTGTCTTCACGTGCACTGCAAGCTGTGGCCCTCGACCCACTTGTTTCCCTTGTCCATCCGGGGGAATAGGTGGCAAAACCAAATTCCCACCCTCAAACTCTTCTTCTTCTTTTTTTCCACCCTCAAAATACGTCATTAGAGATATTGTGGGACCCAGAATTCAGGTTTTTCTTTTTTTGGGGTTTTTTCCGCCCTTCCTTGAAGACAACCTTACATAATTAGCAATACAACTAGGCCATACTTTGTAGAGCTTTTGTCCATATTTTCCTGGGCTGGTTTAATCCAGTCTGTTCTACGAAGTAGGATTCTCTCTCATTCAATGATCTTTATCTTTCCTCAATTCGTCTTACATTTTTGTTTTTATCTTCTTCTTTATATAAAAAATTTAAAATAAGATATGAACGTAATTTAATCGTAACTGCTTAAATAAAAGAGAAGAAAATGAGAGAGATTAGAAAATGAGAGAACACTCAAGACCAAGTACACACAAGATCCCTTATTAATAAGGCCTAGACAAAGCTCCAAATTATTGAATATCTACCAAGAAATTTTTTAGTCTGGCTATAATTCCGCTCCGAATGATACTAATTTACTAATAGTAGCACCTATGATGGCTATAGGAATTGTGGTTGGCATTTTGAAATAATGATTATGTACTTTTTATATTAGCACGTATCACTTTATCAAAATCGTTTTTAGCTAAAATAGTGATAATGCATACCTCAGTTTTATGTTTTATGAAAAAAAAATTGAAACGAGACGTATTCATGACTACGATTTTAGGTTGCCAACAATGAATAACATGTAAATTAATAATAACCCCATGATACATAACACATAACGAGTAAATCAATAATAATAACATGAATATGTACATATTAAAAAATAATATCACATCGAAAATGTAACGTAATAATGTGTAACTTAAATGTAAGAACTTTCATATCTGACTGTTTAAAATTGTTTAAAATGTACACTATCTAATAGGCGTTTGTTACGTGTACTAATTGGGGAAAAAATACGCATCCATCATGAAATTACTCGAAACTTGTCCTCAAACCCCACACATATTCCCATCAATAGTTGCTCTTCACAAACCCAAAGAAAACTCCACCACAACGATAAATTTTTAATTGTGATAGAAATACGAATAGTACATCACGTGTTTTTATGTAAGTGAAAGAAAATTTTAATTTTTAAATTATTAATCTTTTAACACACATAACTCACAATTTATATAAAGATACGTGATGTACCAACTCGTGTGACACTCATACCAAAAAAATCTATCCACCACAACACAACACACAAACAAAAACACAAACACACTGCTTTTTTCCAACTCCACCAAACTCCAAAACCTCACACACGCAAACACTCACACACGCAAACACACACACACACACACACACACACTCTCTCTCTCTCTCTCTCTCTCTCTCATATCATGGACAGCCCACCCACCGTTTTGAACAAACCACCGCCACCTTTCCCAGCACCGCCGCGAAGCGTCGACTTCTCTGCCCTCGAATTCATCCTTGGCCTCTTCGCCGTCATCACCATCCCCGCTCTCATCTACGCCTTCTTCTTCGCCATCAAGTGCCCTTCCAACCCTTTCCGCCGGCGACCCCGCAGGACCTCCACCACCGTCCCCAGCCCCACCCAACACGAACCCAACACCGAAAACAAAAACGACGTCATTTCGGAGCTCAATTACCAGAAGGAAACTCACGTTAAGGAAATCGGAACTGAGTGCCCTGTTTGCTTGTCTCTGTTTGCCGACGGCGAGGAGGTCCGGCAGCTCTGCGTCTGCAAACACTCTTTCCACGCTCTGTGCATAAACATGTGGCTTAAGGAACACTCCAACTGCCCCATTTGTCGAGCTTCGGTTGCAGTTGATCGGAGCAGTAGTAATAATCGGACGGCGGGTGCTGCAGCTAGAGGTAGTGATGATCTGCAACAAGGTTTGCCTGATGATTCTGCCATGGTTTGACTATTAATTGTTTCTGGGTTTTGGTGGCTTAATTCTTTTGCTCTTTTTCTGTTAAGTTATTCAAAAACTCGCCGACAAAAGTTGTAAACCTGCAGCTGGTATTTTATTAGCTTTTAGTGATGAGAATTAGGGTTTGAGAGAAATGTAGAAACGAGTAGTTAATCTATGATTTCAATAATTTGAAGACCCTTCGAAATTTGAACTTTCACATTTTTCTGGGTAGCGGGAGGATATACATAATATTTGGGGGTTAAAGATTGAGACTTGAAACTCATACTGAAATTTCAGTTACTAGTTGGTCTCGTTATTGTAAATTACTGTCTGACGCATGCAAATATAATTTATTAAATCATTGAAACAAAATTTATGCAGGTATATAAAACTGTGATTTCTTTTTGGAGATGAATGACTTCTTATGCATGAACAAAGAATTAAAAATTAAATTAAACTTGTTCTTATTGATGGAGAACATTTTACTACTGTTTTGAAGTTCTTTACTTAGATTTATATATATATATATATATATATATATATAAAGTATAACTTTTAGGGTTTTCATTATTTTATTTAATTATTTTTTTTTGCTTAGCGAGCAGCTGATAAAGAATGTAGTGGTTAAATTTTGAATCCTCTCTGGATTCTTATTGTTAGGATTCTAAATTAATCAATCTTAGCCGCTCACCACATATTTTGCAATCTGAAATTATTTGAACAGTTAATTCTTTTTACATGGCATAATGATTTTTAACCGCAGCATATGTGGTGTGCAACTAAGATTGGTTGATCCTATAATCGAAAAAAAAATCCAAATCCGAGTGGCTGAGTCATAAAAGTTTTACTTTTCATCAGTCTGAGTTCATACTACACATAATGGTGCTGTTGTTGTTTGCAATTTAATTAAAAAATAAACAACCAAATAAACAACACGTTTTATGGGTCCATATAGCTAGATTGATCAATTTCAATATTATACCAAGAACCTACATTCGGTGAGTTGTCAACAACCCATTTCACCTTGATGAATAAGTTGCCACATTCTTTCAAATTAATAAGGACTACTTGATTGTTCATTAAGAAGTAAGATGGATGATCATGTATAATTTATAATCTTATCATGAAAGCGGTGAGATTTTCAAATACAACAAAGGATATGTCCTGCTTATCATATGGTATACAGCCGACGATATGCTTTACTAATCATGTGGTCAGTGTTGTATAATATCAGTGCTTAGTGCTTATTTGGACAGAGACAATAAAAAACTCACCCTATGGGAGATTCCCAGTGCAATCTACCAAGTCTAAAGTCTAACTTGGCGATGGAAGCGTCATGGTATGGGGAGGAAATTTCCAATGTCACATTAATCAATTGAGTGATCGGATAATGTGGCCCATTTTGTATCAACACCTGTATTTTTTCCATTGTCTCATAGTCCTACTTGTGTCTTCAAGCACATAAACTTTTTTTCCCAAAGATTGACTCATACGGTCCTTTATATTTCTTCGGAGCATACTTTGGTTACTCAAATGATAAGTTGAAACTTTCACTCACAATTTATTATTTTTTATTCAAAAAATACGTATTTAGATCAGAACTGTTCATATTATAAATTATTATATAAAAATCATTTCTGCAAAAAAAAAAAAATCAATTAAAACTAAGATCGTTTAGTCATTGAAATGTATAAAAACTTAGGGACAAAAAAGGTAAATGCAATACAAACCGTCTGTCTATTTGCTATAATTGATTGTTTAATTGACCTTAGTTTTAATTTATTCTTTTGCACAAATATGATCTTCACATAATGACTAATAATAGGAACGATTCGGATGGTAAGCGCAAAGTTCTTTACGTCAGACACAAAGAATTTTGAGTAGGAGTTTTTGTTCATCCTTGAGTCATCAAGCATTATTGTTTATTTTTTTCTCGCACCACTAATGAACCATCAGTCACAATAATTTCAAAATGATAGATATGTTAAAAACTTGGAGGAGTATAGTTGAATTCCTCCTACTAATGGTCACAAAGACCACACTATATATTATCTATGAAAAGCTAGATATAGCCATTGCCAACCCTCAGTGGATCAATTTATTTCCCAACTTCAAAATACACAATTTCCCCATCTTTGGTTCAGACCATGGTCCAGTTAACCATCCTGAGTTTAAAAACTTAGTTAAAGCCAGTTGGGTTTGTAACTTTCAGGGCCACCCTAACCACCTCTTCCGAACCTGTGCGAACACTTTTAAATTTAAAGCCAAGACTTGGGGGAAAAACACATTTGGTAATGTTACCAAAAAGATAAGAGAGCTTCAATATCAACTTTCTCTTGTCCAAGAAAATTGTTTGAAGAACCCCTTAGACAACAGATGGATTGAGTAGGAAAATAAAATCAACGAGACCCTTCTAAAATCTTTACAGGGATGAAGAGAGCCTCTAGGCTCAAAGGGCTAAGGCTAATCGGCTTCAACTTTGGGATAGGAATACTAACATTCTGTTTGGATGAAGAAATTTAAGATTATTAAACCATTTTAAAATGACGAAAATTGAAATGATAAAATTTTATTTTCTAAAATTTGTAAATTTTCTTGTTTGGTTAACGTAAAAAAACAATGGAATTTGAATACGGAATTGTTATTTTTAAACTCTCACTCATAGAAATTGGGAAGTGACACATAATTACTTGAAATTTAAACTTGGGAATTGGAGGCTCCAAATTCCAAGTTTTCTTCCAAGCGGAAATTCCAAATTTTTATGTTTATAAATCCAAACAAGAGAATTGGCTCATGCCAATTTATAAATTTTGACTTTTATCTAAATTTCAAGTTTATTTCTCTCATCCAAACATAGTGTAAGTAATTTTTCATAACCAAGCAACAATTAGGAATTAGACCTATTATTCAAGATATCAAATGACTTGCATCCTCCTTCGAGTTAGTGGAATGCAACCATGTTTTCAGAGAAACGAATTTTACGGCAAATGCTATCACACCCGGGGATCATCATATTAGTAGTATGTGTATTTGGGATGGTTGTCCCTCACCAAGCCAAAAATGCTCTTCTATTTGGCTCTAGAGGTATCAAATGTTCCCGAGGCTTCTCTTTAAATTAATTCCTTTTTTTCCTAAAATAAAAGTCCTCCTACTAATAATTTTTACGATCAATCTTTTAACTAGTTTAATATAACTTTTCCAGTGAGAGAGCAAATTGAGCTAGGCTATGAGCTACTCTGTTACGATATCTTGGCATATAACTGCATTCTTAGCTTCCTCCACAAGTTGCCAAACCAAGAGCGATCCTCCTCCAAACATCAAAGTTAATTTATGGCATGCCATTTTTAGTGTAGGCATATTTACACAAGAGTAATGCTAAAGAAACTAAATTTTTAAATCAAATTGCAAACCAAATGACGTATCACCAATAAGAAATCCTCCTCCAAACCACATGACTGCATTCTTAGCTTCCTCCACAAGTTGCCCATCAAGAGAGAAATCCTCCTCCAAACATCAAATTTAATTTATGGAGTAATGCTTAGAAGACCAAATTTTTTAAACCAAATTTGCAAACTAAATGATGTGGTTGTAGATGATTGGATTATTAATTAAATGTCGATTAACATGCTTGTTTTTTATTGGTGACACATCATTTTGGTTTGCAATTTAGTTTAAAAAATTTGGTCTCCCTATCATTACCCTAATTTATGACATGCCATTTTTAGTGTAGGCATATTTAGGGTTGATTTGGTATTGATATGCTTTGAAAAAAAAAACTGTTTTTGCTATGCTGTGAGAATAAGCTTATTTTTGCTGCTTCACGTTTTCAGCTTTTTTTTTTTCCGCCCAAAACTGTGAAAATAAGTTGTTTTTAAGTGTTTACCAAACACCTTTTTGCTCAGTTTTTTTTTTATACCCATTTTTTATAAAAGCACCTCAGTACCAAACCAGTACTTACTCTTTACAAGTAATGCTAGGGAAACCAAATTTTTTAAACTAAATTGCAAACCAAATGATGTGTCATCAATAAGAAACAAGCACGTTAATCGATACTTCATTAATAATCCTATTATCAACAACCACATTATTTAATTTTTAAATTTTGTTTACCTAGCATTAGTCTTTAGTACTGGTTTGGTACTAAGATGCTTTTAAAAAAAGTGGGTATAAAAAAAAGCTGAGCTCAAAAAAGTGTTTGGTAAACACTTAAAAACAACTTATTTTCATAGTTTTAGATGAAAAAAAGATGAAAACATGAAACAGCAAAAATGAGTTTATTTTCACAGCACAATAAAAACAGTTTTATTCAAAACACAGCAATACCAATCCAGCCCTTACACAGTTAGGTCTTAGCACAAGACACAAGTCCGAGCGGCAGCAGATCATAACCGACATTTCAAATTCAATAACCAGATTGGTAGCCTTTCCCTCTCCCACTAAACCCATTGCCCACCTGCATCCACCAAACCAAACCCAAGCTTCACTTCACGCCGACGGCCACCCTTCACCTTCTCCCTCCTTCCTCCAAACAACCGCCCAATTCCCCAAATCTCTCATCTTTTTTCCTTTCCAATTTCCCCCAAAACCCACCTCTCCTCCATGAAAAGAGCTCGCTCTCAATGGCTCATGATTTTAACCGCCACCTCCCTCCTCTTCCTCTTCCTCCTCCTCACCCTTACTCTCGCCGGCCACGGTAAATACTCCCCCTCCGCCCCCGCCGACTTTTATTACGAGCAACGCGAGTTCACCACCCTCGACCGGAATTTCGGAGACACGACGGAAGACACCGACAACGAAAACAGCCACGGGTTAGGGATTCCGAAACTCCCGAGATTCGCCTACCTCATATCGGGCTCCAAGGGCGACGGCCCCCAGCTGCGGCGGTTGCTTCAGGCGGTTTACCACCCCAGAAATTACTATTTACTGCACCTCGATCTCGAAGCTTCGGATGCTGAGCGGCTCGAGCTGGCGAAGTACGTGAAGTCGGAGAGCGCGATTCGGGAGTTTCGGAACGCGATGGTGATCGGGAACGCCGATTTGGTCACCGCCAAGGGACCCACCATGACTGCCGCCACGCTCCACGCCATTGCGATTTTGCTGAAGCGGGCGAAGGATTGGAATTGGTTTATTAATCTCGGCGCCTCGGATTATCCCCTCATGTCCCAAGACGGTAACTTTACTAAATTTGGTAGTTCTAATTTAAATTTTTGATTAAGGGTTAATTATGTTTGCTAATTAGGTTTTTATTACTTGGGTTATTCAGATCTGTTGCATATATTTTCTTTCTTGCCAAGGGACCTCAATTTCTTGGAGCACACAAGTAACATTGGGTGGAAAGAGTGAGTAAAGCTTCAAGCTTTTTAATTTGAACTTGTTTGTTTTGAGTTCTATTGTTGGACTTGGTTTTTACGGTTTGTTTATGTGCTTGTGCAAAATGTTGCAGAAATCAAAGAGCAAGGCCTATTATTATTGATCCTGGTTTGTACCACTCTAAGAAATCCGGCGTGTTTTGGGCTAAAGAGCGAAGGTCAATACCGGCTTCGTTCAAGTTATACATGGGTACTACTCTTCTACATTTAAGCATAGCATACGTTCTGCGTTGATTATCTTATATGCTGGCTAGAATAGAAATTGATATGGTCATTGCATATATGATTTCCAGTTGAGTATATTGAAAGGGAGAACCGAGTGGATTCTGCTAGTTACTAATGGATGCTGGCGTGTGCTAATACAATGTATGCTTCAAGAGTTTTTAGACTACTAATAGGGTTTTGTTAGGTGAATGGGAAATTATGACACGGAACGGAAATGGTTTCACGGTTTTCATACTGTAGGTTTCTAGCGAAAGATTAAATACTGCTTCAAACCCAAAACAATATGGTTCTTCTTTAGTTTTAAGCTATCTGTACAGCCTCCTTAATCTAATTTCGCATTACATCATTTACCTTGAGAAGAAAAGCAGAAAATAGCTGGGATTTCTTAGAACTATGTGTTGGATTTGCTTTCTTCAAATAATCAATGCAGTTTTAGCGCTGAGTACCATTTCTAATGAAATTGGATAATTTGTGTGTTTTGTAAGACTGGAGGTCATTGGATTATCTTCAATGTCAGTAAAATATGATATTTGAAAACGTAATAGATTGTCCTCATCACTGTTTCCTTAGATTTTTAACTAGTCTGCTGTCGCAGTAGTCTTGTGTAACACTTGAGTGGTAACCTGTTATTTTTATATTTGGGTTTTGCAACCTTGTTTGGGAATCCGAAAATGCCATTTACTTGATGCAAACGAAACTTTTTGTACTTGTTGGGAACTTGTAATGGATTATGGAACTGTAATTTATCTTTGTTAGTTGCACCATCTGTGGCTGATGGTTTGTTGAACCATTTTATTTTGCACATCTTAAACCTAAAGCTTTTTACTTTCAGGGTCGACGTGGGTGGTGCTGACCAAATCATTTCTCGAATTCTGTGTTTGGGGATGGGACAATCTACCCCGTACTCTTCTCATGTACTACACCAATTTCTTGTCATCCCCAGAGGGCTACTTCCACACTGTTGTGTGCAACCACAAGGACTACCAGAACACGACCGTGAACCATAACTTGCATTATATAAGGTGGGATAGCCCTCCGAAGGCAAATCCAATCAATCTAACGCTGGAACACTACAACGACATGGTCCAAAGTGGAGCTCCGTTTGCGGGTACATTTTCCAGGGACGATCCAGTTCTCAACAAAATCGATAAGGAACTCCTGAGGAGACCAAGTGGCCACTTCACTCCCGGTGGTTGGTGCTTAGGAAATTTTGGTAAGAATCCTTGTTTAGTGTATGGGAATTCAAATGCTGTAAAACCAACTGTAGTTTCAAAGAGGCTGGAGAAACTCATTGTGAAACTTCTGGATTCCGAAAATTTCAGGCCTAAGCAGTGTAAATAGTGTTGCAAAGCTTTGTCTTCCCTCCCCATTCTCTTCTTTAATCCTTCTTCTCACTAGAGCTCTTGCAGAATGAAGCATCGCTGCTATGTATTCGGAAAATGGATTGCCATATTGTAACGGCTAGTGATTCAAAGTCGAAAATTATTTCATTATGAAAAAAATAAAAATAAAAAATAAAAAACAGGCGAGATACTGTCGTAAGTTCATCCGAAATTCATAATATGGTTTAAAAAAATGGATGTACTTAATGGCTTCGCCCGGGTTCGAACCGGAGACCTTCAGTGTGTTAGACTGACGTGATAACCAACTACACCACGAAACCCTGATGCTCTATTCTCACAACACGGCTACTAAATATAAAAAATGAAACATGGGCTGGCCGGTTTGTCCGTGCAATTTTGTCAATTCAGGATTTTTCTCCAAGGTTCTAAAAAACGCTAGGCACTAGTCAGGTGGCGGGGTTGGGGCCTAGCGCATAGGCAGGTAGGCAGGGTCTAGGTAGACATCTAAGCGAACTAGGCGTATTTAATTAAATGTATTATATTTCGTATAAATAAGTGTTTGTTTATAGTTAAAATATATAATAGTCTCTCTGCACGCACGAGGCATTTTCTTATTCACGGACGCTACGTGCCCCTAAAGATATTTTGCGTTAATCGCTTTTCATTATAATTTTTAAGATATATTTTTTAAAAATATGATCCAAGTATGGAGGTGAGGTTGAAATATGCAAGATAGCTTATAGTGAGTGCGTGTGAGGTTTTTTTATTTTTTATTTTTTATTTTTTATAACAAGGACGTAGCATCGTAAAGATGTCTTGCAATAGTTGTTTTCCATTGTAATTGTCAATGTATGTGCTTCAGAAAGTATGATACCAAGTATGGAGGTGAGGGATGAAATTTGGAAGATGGCTGCACATAACTAGAAGCAATAAATTTGAAGCTGTTGACGTGGATACTCTTTCACACACAGCAGTGGCGATAACGGTGTTCTCTAACATTACCTTCGCAAGCATGAAGCATGTACAATATAACTTATTTTCCTTTTCCTTGTATTTTAAAATCATTTAACTTGGGAAAGGTCATAATGTTTTCATTGGTCACTTCACTAAGGCTCATCTTCGGCAAAGGATCATGATGATATGAAGACCTCAATATATTGTTGTAGAGCACAAAACACAAACTTATGAGTTATTGTCTTTGTTTGCTGAAGGACTACGTTAATAAGGGAAAAGATTGTTTACCAAAATGTAGAACAAAGGTGAAATAGGGAGGCAGTAAAATATAATGTTTGTGGTGCTTTTTGTACTTGGGGTCGGGGATGAATTTTATTTTATGTTTTGTTTTGGTTTTTTTTTTTTTCTAAATGCAAATTCATATTTAGTGGTAACCGATGTTGTAGTTGATTTTTCAGTGGAGTTGTGTTGTGGATTGTGGGAAACAAGCTAAACTTCCATGTTATGTGCAAAGACCATGATCAGAGTTTGGTTTGATGGGGAACCAATTGGTAGGAAACGTATATGAAGCCTTTGACGTCTATCCAAAATTTCAATATATAGATCTAACCAACATAAATTATATGGTGAACTCTCATGCAATTGGGGAGAAAATGAAACTGATTACAAAAGTAAAAATGAAGTCAACCTTCTTATAATTGAGATTTATAATATGAACATTCACAACCCAAAATACACAAAATTATAATAATCATGTAAGAACAGATATTGAATAGAGGACAAAATAATTACCTAAGCCATAAGTGCTTTGGGCAAAATGGGGATCGTGATATTAAATGAAGATTAAGAATGTTTTTGGCTGCGATGTTTGTATGTTTACTCAACAAACAGAGGAATACATAGAGTAAGGAGAAAAATCATGTCTTTGCACGACATCTTACCATTCACATCAGCATTGGTTGTGTTGTCGAAGAAGATGTAAACTCTTCTCTTGGCCGCAACATTCTTCTCAAAAGTAGGTGGGTGGAGAACTGATCGCATCTTATCCATTGTGGCATGCGGCTTGCAAAATTATTTAAATGTACCCACCAATTCAAATATTTTCTGAAATGGAAGTCCATCTCTTCCTCCTTTGTTTTCTTTTTTTTGGCCATGTGTAACTGAAACGACCCGAGCAACTCTCTAATGCGTGGAATCGTTATCAGATTAATCTTTCTCTGGAGTAGCATCGGTTCACACCCCCACCCCAAAAAAAAAGTGCATGTCGTCTTCTTCCTCCTCTTGATTTCCAGAGTTGCACGAACGGTTTTACAATATGACAATGATGAGGAGAGAGCGACATGGGTTTGTAGGAGGAAGGAGTGAAGCGTCCTGGGAGAAAAGTGAACTCACTCTTCTTATGCTTATCCTTCTCCACGATCCAATCTTTTTTTGTGCCTTTGCTTCCATTCAAATCTTTATCCTTCCGCACATTCAAAGAAACAAAGAAAATGAAAAGACTGACTTATTTACCAGATTGCACCGTTTATATATGAAAGGACAGCCCTGGTCATGTTATGACTTGTGAAGATCCCATGTTTTCATATGATCAAATGATTAAGTATGAAGTTTATCCACCAAGAACAGCTTATGCTCCTCCTCCTTCCACGCAACACCTTCCCATATCAAAAACCAACCAATGCAACAATTAATCAAGTAAAAATAATTAATCCAAAATAAATGAACAAATTGAGTATTTTATTCCATATCAGATATGTGAAAGGTAGGTGAAATATGGAAAGTAAAATTAACGACATGAGAGTGAAGACAATTAATAAAACCAATTGGCAACTGCTAATTGCATTTTCAAATTTGAACGCCATTTTTTTTTCCCAACGTGTCTAAATTATAACCGCTCAGTTTAGGAGGATAATTATCTCTTTTTTTTTTCCCAAATAGGAGGATAATTAGCCAACTGTTCATCTTCAAATATTGTCCAATATTTTAGATTGAATTGTAGAGATAAAATTCAGAAATTGAAGAAACGTGGCATACCTGTAAAGAAGGTGGATGGATTAAGGTGCAAAACAGGCAATGCCCCTTTAGGTTTTCCTTCTGCAAATTTGTCAAAGCCTCCTCAAACAAAACCGAAAATAAAAACAAAAACTTCACCGTTGCCAAAGCCTTCTCAAGCCAAAAACAGAATGCCAGTATCAATTACAAAGAAAACAAATTTCAGACCTCATTACTTGTTTGTTCCACGATTAGTAAATTCCAGAGACTGATTTGTAGAAGAACTTCGATTTAATAATTCTGTGAAAATGCATGAGAAGATTAACATTAAGGAATAAGGAGCACTGTGATAGAGAACAAAATACTAAAGTTTAATAATTGAGAACTATGGAGGAGGAATTAAACTCAGTTAACCGTAAGAAAAAAAAATAGTATCACCTACTTTATCGAATGACCCCAAAAACAATTTCAATTTGTTCTTTTTAGGTTCTTTTATTTTGTGCTTTATTTACATCTCCTTCCGCAAAACCGCTTCCTCTCTCACGTTTGAATTTATTTTCATGCACGTTCACATTTATTTCTACAAAACTACTCCCTTCACATGCGTCAAGTGTTCAACTGCTGAATAGCAGTTCTAATTCTGAACATATTAGGGTTCTTTTTATTTTCTTTATTTATTTTTTTTTATTCCGTTAGTTTTACGATAACGTGAGTCTGTAAACTGAAAGCAGTTTGAAAACTGCAGTCTCTCCCACGTTTCTTTCCTCAATTTTTTTTTTCAAAATTTTCTAATTCTAAACGTATTAAGTTTTTTTTTTTCATTCCATTAGATTTTACAATAACGTGAGAATCTGTAAACTGAAAACTGCAGTCTCTCTCCCACGTTTCTTTCCTCCTTTTTTTTTTTTTTAAAACTACATTTGTCTCTTTATGTTTTTTTTTACCCGTTTGTCCTTATTTTTTGAAATTTTTGAATTTTTTGGGTTTTGATTGTGAAGGAAACAAATGGATATTTTTGGTATTTTGGAAAGCTTCACCAAATTGGGGCTCTCACTTTATATATACTAGCCTCTCCACACAAAACAATAAGCATGGAGATCACAATTGCATGAAAAAATATCTTCATCATAGCATTTGGTAGAGAAAAATAAAATTATTTTTTTGTTTACAACAACACTGACACCATAAATATTAGCAATATCCAAAAGAATCCCTTTCATTATGCAACCTTACTACGAGAAAACAGGAAACCCATATACGTCGGCTTGCTCTGTAATAGTAGATATTGCACTAATAATTTAGGAGGCTCTCCTCTCCATATTTTCTCTTTAACTTTCCTTTCCGTACAGCTAGTAAGATTACAACTCGAAGAATTGCTTTGAAGAGATATATACAAACAAAAGCAAACTTAAGGTATTGAAAAAATATATACAAACAAAAGGAAACTGAAAGAGATTTTGAATACACAAACACCACTAAAACTCAAACTTAAACTCAACAGAAACTAAATAGTAGACATTGAAAAGATATATGTTCTTGAATCAAGAACTTCAACAAACGAACATCAATAAAATCTAATATAATCTGTCAAAAACCAAAACAGAGAATTTGAAGGCCTTGTAATGTCGAGGCTGTGCACACTTATATTAAATGGTTGATGCACCTGTAGCTCAACCAAATCCTTTGGTTGGCTAAAAAATAAAAATAAAAATAAAAATACTATAAATGCATTCATCCAATTTATGAGAAATCAAGTGAAAGCAAGGGTAAATGATAACTAATCATGAATACATAAGAAACACAAACGTGCTAAAAATATAAATTGTCATAGCGTGTCAAGATACTCATAGTGCCACACCCCGACCGAGATCAGGGCATGCTGGCCGTCACGTGGAAGTGACGTAACCATGTGCACAGTGTGGAAGCTAATAAAATAAGAATAAAAGTACGAATAAATAAAAACCAGCTATACACAGCGTAGAAACATACATGTGCAAGCGTAAGTGTGAAAACAAAATTCAGAGCACGAAGACCTAATGCAGTCCAAGAGAAACAACACTACAAAAACACACCCAAAGATGGTCCTACACTGGTGATAATCTGTCAGATATGCCGGGAAAATCCTCTGGGGAGCCACCAAAAGTGCTAGCCAACTAGAACCTGGAGGGGCGCAAAACAAAAAGTGTGAGTGGGCAAAAACAAAGCTTTTCAACAAGCATTTCATAATTAAAGTTCTAACCCCTCGCCGTAAAACCTGTATACTTCCCAAAAAAATAAAATATACATACATACATATATATATATATATATATAAGTCATGCTCAGAAATATGCCATGCCAAATGCCTCGAAATAAAATGCAAGTGCTTAGGAAATGTCAAATCAATGTCATGTAATCTGTCAGCCAGAGTCACCTAACGTGACCTGTACAGCTGAATCTAGAGCTCAAATCTCCATCTCACTAACTATACTTGCACACGAGTCGGAACCACCTAAAGTAGTTTGTACGACAGGACTGGGTGTATAATAAGTACGCTCAAGTGCTATGATCACGTGAAGGCTGGGCGAATAATCGCAGGTTACCTACGAGTCGGAACCACCTAAAGTGGTCTATATGACAGGACTGTGCACCTAACTTGGATCCAAGATGAGCGTGTGGTGCGAGAGGTGAACATCACGTGAAAGATTGTGCCCAACTCTGGGCAGGAGCACTAACACCGGGGGTGCAGGTTATGAGCTCTCTATGCATCTCAAATCACTACTGAACATAAGCGTAAACCATACTCACCTAACACTTACCTGTGCGCCCACAACACCAACATACAAACATATATGTATATATATACTACTAATAATGCATAAACAAACAGCAAACATAATGCATGGCGTATAAGTGTATAAACGTTTCCATTCATTTTCTGGGAAAAACATAAGTATATAGGTATATACGGAAAACCAAAAGCCCACTCACTGGTATGTAGAAGGGTTGTAACCCCCTTGCCTCGAGTGACCGCGCTCGTCCTCGGGATAGGTCTCACCTATATGTGTGAAACAACTGTAAAAACGTTAATTTTAAAGCACATAACCAACCTTACGAAATAACTTCTCATACAATGCTCAAATGGGGTGTATGAATACACCAACGTGATCTACTCAACCTCAGGAACATCCTCATATTTTTAGAAAAATTTTCTGACGCCACACGAGCCCCCACGCGCAGGCACGTGCCTGGCACACTGACGGCGTCAGTTAACACCGTCAGGAATATTCCGTTAAATCTAACTGATGCCGTTAACGCCGTTAGGAATATTCCGTCCAAACTGAAGGAATATTCCGTCATCTTCTCCGGCCAAACTCCGACGCCGTCGCTGGTGCCGGAAAACCGGGAAAACTTTAAAACCTTGTATCTTCTTCGTTTTTCAACCAAATTTCACAAAATTGGTACCAAAATGAAGCTTACAACAAGAGGAACAAATCCATACCACTTTCAAGCACTAAAACCCACGGAATCTCGCCGAGAAACACCACCAAGTCCAGCCAACCTTGTAACTCACGATCCCGACGTCCAAAACCTTCAAACAAACCACCCCGAGCCTCCTAAGGACCTCACCAAGCTTCCTACAAGCTTGAAATTCCCAAAAACACAAGAATTAACGTGTGCATGAACAATGACCAAATCGGCGTATCCCGAGCTCGACGTGAAAACGAAGGTATCCTAACCTAAAATGGGCATGGTTGAACTCCTAAGGACCTCACGAGCATGAATATGTAATTTGTTTCCTCGATTTGTGAAGGTTTCAATGGTTTTTGGGTGTGTCCGTACAAGAAGAATAGGAATGGGAGAGAGAGAGGGATCAGGACAGGGCAAAGAGAGAGAGTGAGTGAGTGTGGTATGTGTGTGGTCCAAAATTAGCCAAGCAACATCCAAAAAAACCACACAACAAAACAACCATACTAGGGGTAAAACCGTCATTTCACCTCTACGGTTCGAAAATTCGGAACGGGCTATCACACATAGCATATATTTTTTTGGCATTACCATTTCGCAATTCATTAAACAATATATGGTTCGAAAAATCTTTGCTATGATTCACATATTATAACATCAATTCATAATTCAATGTCTATAGTGCATGAAAATGTGATGCCTTGGTTGATCACGATGATAATAAATCAGATTAAAAGACGGCCCAAAAAGCAATCAAATTTAGAAAAAAAAAAATGAAAACTAATGAAAGGGACTTGAAAACTTTAAGTTTTAATAATAATGACAAAATAAAGGGTAAAGTGAGTAGTACTAGGATTGACTTTTTAGTGTAAAAGTGTAATTTTTCGTTAAAGTGAATAGTACCGTGGGCTTTTCGTTAACACTCCAAAAAAAAAAAAAAAAAAGCTTCAAAAGTGCCATTAGAAATTATTAAGTTTGGAAAAATAAATACCAAAACATAGTTACTAAAAAGAAAGTATAATAGCATGGTAATTGCAAAATACATTTCCAACAATGTATATGAACATTTGAATATTAAAAAATAAAAAAAAAAAAAAAAAATCTAAAATCGGAAAAAATACCAAGCTTCTACTTGGCATCCATAACTCCATTGGTGACTCTCGCTTCAACGTTTTTAATGGAAAAAAAAAAACCCAGAAGAAACCTTTACACAAAATAAAATTATCCAAGTAAAATTAAAACATGGACAAAAAAAAAAAGAAATGAAGGCAGTTTATTTGAACTTAATTAGTGACTTACTGAATAAGCTCAGAGTCTGTTTCACCTAGCTAAAAGAAAAATATAAATCAAGATCAAATCACACCACAACCCATATGAAAAATGAATAATATAAAATAAGAACAATAATAAATTTACGAAATGGGAACCAACTATTATTGGCACTCAAAAAGTGTAACTGTAAACTCCAAATTTTCCATGTTAGAAAGAAAATTACTCTCATGAGAAGCGCTAATAGATTTTTGGAGTTCCAATTACCATTCCTTATGAAATTAGTTGATTTTTTGCTTGAGAGTCAGTTTAGAATAGGAAAAATATGAGATTAGCAAAATTTTAAAATTGCTTCTTACTTGATAAATTTACTCTTTACTATGTCTAAAGCAACTTCGTTCTGCAAGCATCATCAAGAGTTTTACGATACTTACTACATGCAAAAATAAAATAAAAGCTTTGAAAAAGTCAGCTACACCTACTCAGTTGCGGGCTGCGGCCTATGCGACTTTGGTTCCGTTAAAAATAGCCATATGTTGCTCGGCCTATCCCTCCTCCGTCATACAACGCAGTACCTCTATCTCTCGTTCCTGCAATGCACTTCGTATGGGAAAAAGCAGGAAAAGATTGGGAAAAACTGGGGAAATGGATGAATAACAACAATCCTAGAATCTGAAATTAAAACGCAAGATAAAAAGGAGATAGAGATCAAAAGCCAAAGAAACGAAAAGGAAACAGTACAAAATTCAGTCGAAATGGAATTCAAATTACAAAAGTGATTGCTTCGCTTTTTCAAAATTTTATCAATTTTCGGATTCGAATTCGAGAGTGATGAAGTTGGAGAGGGACCTCAGGGAAGAAATTGGAGACTTGAAAGCCCTGGGCGATGAGAGCGAGCAATCGCTTGAGAGCCTCGCACTTGTCGGAGTCGAATGGAGAGGAGCGACGCTGACGTCTTGGGGATCCTCGTAGAGATGGGCGTCGGTGCCGATCTGGAACACCATTGTCGAGGCCTTGCTTAGTCTCCTTCGTTGCTCCGAACTTATTGAACATCTTCCGCCACGGGTTTCTCTTTCTCCTAAAATGGAGGAGTTACTTCAGCACGTCTCTTTTCTATCTGTTTGTTTTTACCTTCTTTTTTTTCAATGAACAAACTAGGCAAGTGCGTGGGTGGGTCTGAGCATGCTAGGCAGTCTTAGGTGGACGCTTCAGTAGATTTAGATGCTCTTTTTTAATTTTTAAACGTTTAGACATTAATTGGGACGGTGACCAACCGTCTAGCGCCTAAACGGACAATGTTTTTCTCTAAAGCACATACTTAAATGAAAGATTATAAACAATGATTCTGAAATGGCTCGGAATCAGAAAAATAAAGCCATACGATTACTTTCCTTTTTTACAGATTAATTCCCAATTTAAATCTATTGAGGTCTTTTATGAATCTGGCTAATGCCCGGAGATGGGGTGCAAATAATTATCTTTTTTTTAATTAATTAAAACTCCAAATTAAATTTGTAAACTGAAATCTGCTTCTCTCTGGGTTAATACGGTGGTTGATCCGTTTTGCTTGGAGAAAAGGAAGCAACGGGTGTGTTGCAGAACCAGGGAAATGAATTAGATGATGGGTTGCGTGGCTGTGTTGATAATTTTGCAGGGAAACAGAGATTGGTGGAGGTCGGAGGGGGGTCTTGGGGTTATATTCTTTGGGTGGAGCCGTGGAGGTGTTTGGGCAGTGGTCGTGCTATGGCAAAGGATGGTAGGGGAGAGGTAGGGGAGGTGACGCCAACGTAGAAGAAAGAGGAAAAGCTGACAACTTTCGGACTCATCAATTTGTTATGTTTCCTTTTATGATGCAAGAGAAAGTTCAAGCTGTAAACACCTACGAATTTGATTTGCAGATTTGAACCGAGGAATTTGACGATCACTGCCAAGTGTAGATGCTAGAACAATATCGATGATAATTACTCAGGGGACTCCTCTCGTGGAGTCTCTCAGAAAGATTCTAGTGCAGCAAGTTCTGTTTCTGCTTCAGTGATGAACAATGCAGCTGCTTCCAGAGTGCCTGAAGTTCGGTTGAGACGTGAGTAACATGCTTACGCGTATCATATCAATCGCCTGACGCTTCCATAGTTCCATACGTTTTATTTCTGAAATGCAGCTGCTTGATGGCTGCATCAAGTGGTATTTGTTTCTGAAATGTTTTGTTCATTTTATTCTTGCAAAAAGGAAATGCACCGAAGAAGAGAAGGGTATCGGCAATAATGGCGGGAGGTCTGCGTGAGTTCAGTTCCAGAGGTCCGTAATTCATATGAACGTTTCAGATTTGTGTATTTGTGAAATGAAAGAAGACTATCGTAGTAATAGAGTACTAGTTGTAGGAGATGGGGCTAGTCAACATATGATTCTCTTCTTCTTTTCAGTTTGTAACTGTGAAGTTTGTTTGGTGAAGGAGCATCGCAGGAAATAATTAAGAGGTCCCTTATGTAGTAACTAGTAACTGTTTATTGGATAGTGTATATATGGTTTTTCATTGAGGATAATAAGTGTGTAAAGTTTCTTCAATACGAGGAGCTCGTCTATTTCATCAATATTTCTAACATACTGGTTAAATATCAGTGAAACTTTTTTATTTCGTCAAAACTAGTGTTTGACAATCTCTAAAGTTTCATTTTAAATTAGGTAGAGAGACTACATTTGTAAACAAAATTTGGTAAACTAAATGACATGAAAATTGATGATTGGATTATTACTTAAGTGTCGATAAACATGCTCATTACTATTGATGACACATAATTTAGTTTACAAATTTTGTCTATAAATTTAGTCTTCCTAGCATTTCATCATTTTCATCGAATGCAACCGATATTGATACTTGACATATGCATCGATATTTTCATAAATTTGCATACATATTTATAGTGATACCAATATTTTAAACATTGAGGATAATGAATACGGTTTCTCTTTGAATAAAATTTGGGACTTCGTCGTGGTTATGCCAAGCAAAGTTTTCCAGTGCCACACAATCGTCAGAGTTTTGTAATTTATTTTGGCTTATTTGACCAATGATTGGTTGAGTATCAGTATTTATAGCGATGATGTTCATGTTGCAGATGACATAATTTCTGAGTTTTCTGAAAATGAGAAGTTAATTTGAACCCAACAGGATTTTCTCCGGATCCTTTTGATGAGAATTTTGGGGATCCGTAAATCGTGTCTGTTTATCGTATATTGTGCAGTTAATTTCTATTAAATACTATTTGTATTTAATTTTAAATAAAAATATTTAAAATAATTTCTGACCACACGATTTACTAATTCTTAGGATCTTCACAAAGAGGATCCAGATTCAATTTGAATGTTTTTTCAATTTGGGTTTTTTTTCTTTCGACTTCAATTTGTCAGTACGGTTTGGTTTTTGAAATCCACTCCAAAGACCATCTCCAACCCATGGGATAGAGCTTAAAATATAAGCTTTAAACCACCCCAATATATATACACACACACACACATGTTTCATGCATTAACTAATTTTTGCTATGTGGAATTTGTGAGTCAAAGCTGAAATAAATTAGAAGCAATTATGGTTTTTCAAACCTTAGAGTCAAAAGAAAAAAAAATTATGGGAATTTCATGCGGCCGTTGGCACCACCGCGCTGGCCTGTAACCCAGTCACGTCGACCACGCCACGAGGATGTTTGGACCATGGCAACAGCCTTTTGGGCTTTGCTGCGTCTACACGAACACACTAGGCCTTCAAACTAATAGGGTTACATGGGCCTGAAGCCCCAGCCCAAACCGAGAAGGCCTACAACTCTTTGTGGACCTGTTTTTGTGTCTTCGACCCAACCTACCAAAAGCCTTATACTGCTGGGCTTTGTCCAGTGCCATAAACCCACTTGCAACAAGCCCGTGTTACTTACTAGGCTTCGCAAGTGGGTCTGCCCGTGTCACTTGCAACAACTTGCTAGTAGCTTCTACTGCTGGGCTTGACTTGCCTCGACCCAAAATCCGACCCAAATTTTTGGCTAGGCTTTGCAAGTGCTAACCCGCAAGCCAGCCTTCGGCTGGGCTTGCTCCCATGCCTTGTTTTGGCCGCAACTAGCAGATTTTGCTGCTGGCTTACCTAGACCACACGGTCCAAGGCACGTAGCCTTCATCGATGGCCAATAGCTTGCAGTCGAACTGCAAGGCATATCCCCACGTCATTACTAGCCCACTTTTGGCTGGACCGCATTATTTTTTTAACCTAATGCTAATTTTTGGGATCCCCGCGTTATAAATCATACCTAAATAATTTTTGGGGTACTTTGGTTTACTCTCATTAATTCTAATTTAATTATCACTTGGTTTGTCACCAATTGAAGCTAATAGGACCCGTTTGTCATTATTTTGCTTCCACAATCAACCCCGTTTGGTCCCAATCTATTGAATTAATTAAAAGTAACATGCAGTCCATTCATCTGATAATTAATCCAAAATTATTAACCTGAATATCACATTTAGACATTAACGATTCAATAATTTATTTCTTTTCTTTGAACTATTGACATCATTTCGTAGTTCCGAAGTGCTCACATTTGAGTTCCTAAAGCAACTTAAATCCACTACACTTAAATCAACATATTGTATTATGTGTTCTTGTAGGAACCTTTCTTTTATGAACTAAACATTCATAAACTAAATTGAACCTGTAGTTTCAAATTTAGTGTCTTTGAAACCTGAGGTTTTCATAAAAACAAATACACCTATGAAAACCAGACGGTTTTCATGAAAACCATGTCTTAGAACTCGAATGTTCTAACTTTGATGCTTATAGATGATTCATTCCTATATTACCAATCACAATCTTGTTCCCTCCAAATCAATGGATTGTCAAACCGTTACAAGTTTGATTCCCTTTATTTGGGCATTTCTAATAGAAACCACTTTATGCTGGGTACAAGACATGAATCTCCACTTGACTATCAAGAAGCTGAGAAACCATTGACGCCAACAATGGCAAGGAATAGCTGAATAAGCTTCTACCATGATCTTCATTTGAAGATTTATGCCTAAAGCATTACCCATGGAAATACCTCACGAACGAGGATTCCATGGCTCTTTGGCTCGCTTCTATGACTGTTTAATCATGAAAGACATTGCCTGAAGCATACCATGATTACGTCTATAAATGAGTGCAATTCTGAAGTTTATAAATCCGATCGAATTTTGACTGGAGAATACTTGTCTCGTCATTCCTTGTTTCTAACTCATTTCTAAAGCAACCGTGTAGAAAATGGAAGTTTACCAAATTCTCGAGTCTGATTACTACTACAAACATGAGAGAAAGGTATAGACCCAGCTTCGGCTGGAGTCTACCGAACGGTATAGATTCAGTTCAGCTGGATTCTACTAAATGGCTCGACCCAGTTCGGTCAAAGCTTACCGAATGGTGGTGTCCTACTTTAGTAGGGCTGCACCGAAGGGCATGCTCTGCTTCGGCAAAGATGTATTGAACGGTATTGCTTTGCTTCGGCGGATGCCTACAAACATACCCTTTTAGTTTCTGTTGGAGCCTACCGAACCCAAGTCTGGGTCTATCTCTCTCATAATCTAATTTTGAGTTTGGTTTTACAGCATATGGTATAATCAAGCCCTACCAAGGTGTGGCATCATGCCCGAAGCATGATCCTTGGCACCTAAGACCTAAAACTTCAAGAATAAGGGATAATATTTCCAAACCTTAACCTTGCAGAACCTACTTCCATCTTAATGGAATAGATCATTGGTTATCTACTTGTTTGTGCCTCTACCAATGTCATTGAGGAGTACCATTCTTGTAGTCAATATGTGAAATTAATTTTGCTCCATCGAACATTGTTGGAAGAGCAGAATCTTGACATGGATGACCTTGTTAGCCGAATCCCCTCAGTAAACTATTTACTTTGTGAACATTTTTTCATGTTCTTGGATTCAAGTTTGGTGTAGGCACGAATTCAATTAGACATGTGACCGAATTCAATTAAACATGTGATTAGGTACGAATGTCGGAAAGTTAGTTGTCTGGAAGAATGTGATACTACGCACACTAACTTTATACCTAAATTACATTTGTAGCAACAACTTCAAGTTTATCCAACT